TTAAATGTTCAGGATTCCCAAACAAGATAAACACGCCACCCCCAGGAAGGCCAGGAACACACAATTCCTAAATATCCAAAGCTGAACTTGGCCGATGAAGGTTTTCTGCAAACGCTATTAAATGAGTAATAGACCAGTACAGATCACCAAGTTACACCATTAGCTTCTAAAAAGAGCATTTTAGCCCAAAATGAAAAAGAAAGGTGGTGATACGCTCAGTGGCTCAAGCGCTGAGTTGGCCCAGCAGCATTCACCAGGCCCTACCACAAGCTGACACCTGCCCTTGGCAGAACTACCATCTCTTCATTTCTGGAACCTCAGCCAGCTTTGTCCTTTGTGACAGTGCCACCTAGCGAGAGTTTGGAGGCACTGCCACTTAATCCCGGCAGCTGCCAGGACTACGGACTGCGACAAGGTGTGAGCTATTTAGGCTGAGGGCTGGGGATGGGTCTGCCTCAGTCTGCCTCTTTCCGTTCTACTTACAGGCTAAGGGTTTGGACCAGCCATGCACTCCTTCAATAATTCTGTGGAGGAAGTCCATGCAGTCCCTCTCCCAACCTCGTCCACACTTAGGGATCTGAAGAGCGCCAAAGGTCAGCTGCTGCCTACCCCTCAAACACAACCCACCAGGAGCCTATCGCTTCCCACTTCAGGGCTCCTCGCCCTGAATCCTTGACAGTAAGAAGCCAAAGCAGCGTCAATCCTCTTCGGAGTTTCTGTGTGGACGGGGAAGCAAGCTCAGCAGGGCCGTGGTTAGCCCAAGGTCACCCAACGAGTCACGGGCAGGGGCCGGACGGGAATCCGAGCCCCCTGCGCGCCGTCCCCAGCTCCTTCCCGACCCCACGCCCCCAGTGAGTGTGCACACAGCACGCCCGCCCCCGGGGCCAGAAGTTAGGGAGGCCGGCGGAGGGCCAGCGCGGGGCAGCCCAGCGCCGGGAGGCGGAGTCCGCGCTCCTTTCTTCTCGGCCCACGGAGCGCCCCGCAGGCTCGCCGCCGCTCGGGGGCGGGGAAACAGGACCCCGAGCAGGAAACAGGGTCCCGCGCGGGGAGCCCCTGGGAGCACGCGGCGCCGGGTCACGTGAGAAGGGAGCGCGGCGCAGGGCCGTCGCGCGCATGCACGCACGACGTACGTAAACACGCACCGAAGCGCTCAAAGAGGCGAGCCCGCAGCGCAGGGTCACATGTGGAGGGTGACAGGAGAGAACAAGGGGGCGGGAAAGACGGAGAGATCACGTGCGGAGGGCCAGAGCGGGGAGGTCACGTGAGGGGGCGGAGGCGGGGCCGCCGAGGAGGAGGAGGGGCGCGCGGCTTCCGGCGGCCGGGGGGGCCAGCGAGCGGAGGGGGGGGGCCCTGTCCCGGAGGTGGCGGCGGCGCCATCTTGGCGAAGGGGGGATCAGGAAGTGCGGACCGCGGCGGCGGCGGCGGCGGAGCCCGGAGCGGAGGCCGGAGGCTCCCGGCCCGCCGGCCCCGGAGCGGAGCGGAGCGGAGGATGCAGCAGCCGCAGCCGCAGGGGCAGCAGCAGCCGGGGCCGGGGCAGCAGCTGGGGGGCCAGGGGGCGGCGCCGGGGGCCGGGGGCGGCCCAGGGGGGGGCCCGGGGCCGGGGCCCTGCCTGAGGCGGGAGCTGAAGCTGCTAGAGTCCATCTTCCACCGCGGCCACGAGCGCTTCCGCATTGCCAGCGCCTGCCTGGACGAGCTGAGCTGCGAGTTCCTGCTGGCTGGGGCCGGAGGGGCCGGGGCGGGGGCCGCGCCCGGACCGCATCTGCCCCCACGGGGGTCGGTGCCCGGGGATCCCGTCCGCATCCACTGCAACATCACGGTGAGGACCCTCTCGCGTGCGCCTCTCGGGGGCCCCTGGTCAGGACTCAGGATCACCCCACACAGCTTTTTGCTCTCGAAGGACCTGGGAGGCCGAAGCCCCTTCTCGAGTCTCTGTCCTCTCTAGTTTACACTTGTTTCTGCAGCTTGAGGTTCTTCTAGGCACTCAGACCTCTACTAATGATTCCTGATAGCAAGGGACACCTCGACATATGGCGCCTGGACTCCCCCTTCCACGAACCCACCCACATCCCAAGGTTCAAGATTTGGGCTCTTTTTGGCTACTCCTCTACAACTTTACCTTTCACCTGGGAATGCCCCTTCCCCCCTCCCCATTCTAATTACTAGGTTCCAGGCCTCTGCACTGACCCCAGCTGGAAAGACCTCGCTTGGAACTCTGCACATGTCAGTGATGACCCCTCTCAGTAGTTCCTTTGACTCAGATGTTTGCCACCTGTGGGATCCCTGTCCAGTCATCCCTCTTGCAGACCCTCTTTGCTTTCTGAATTTCACCAAGTGATAGTTTGCAGTACATTGATTCCTCTTCCTTTACTCCTTTGAATACCCTTTTATTTTGGTGTAACCTCTAACACTCCCCTTTTGCCTCAGCTGGTAGCAGATCTTCCACTCTCCCTGTTCCCTGTGGATATGTCCATTTGCCTTAGGTCGGTTCCTTTCTTGGTAGTGACAGTATTGTGATGTGCATAAGGTACCCCATTTATTCTGAGCACACTGTTCTATTCTCCCCAGTGGGCATTGTTTCATTCTAAGTATACTAGGCTGGGAGACGCCTTGCATGTGTCCTGCCTTATTCTGCCCTCAAACATTCCTTGAGGAGGTTAGCTTTCTGATAACTTGTAATGTGTGGTCCCACCTGGGGTAGCACTTCCACTGGTTGGAATTCCCTGTTGTGGTCTTCCCCCTCCTGAAGCAGTAGCTGGGGAGCTGGTGGACAGTGCTGTATCCAGGCAGGCAGTCTGAATAGGAGTAGCCTGGGGAAAGACAGACTTGCGAATTCTGTGGTGCTTGGGGGCCTGAATCCAGTTGACATGGTGTTTTCTTTCCTTTTTCTCAGTCAAACCAGGTCAAGGTTTGGTGAGGTAAGCCTCAGCTTGGGTTGGATGGTGCCCCACCAAAACTCATGTGTCCTATTTCTCTCTTTTCCCATCCTCCCCCCAAAAGTTAGCATTGAAAGACCAGAAGTGGCTTAGTCAGGTGAAGACTTGAGTGTCTTTGGTGTGTATTTTCCCCTCCAGCACTGAGGGCTAGAGCTGTGGCAGAGCTAAGCTCCCAGGAGTGGGTAAGGTTTCCTGGGCAGGCGGAAGCCTCCAGGTTTAATTTTGTTGTGAAGTTAAGCTTCTGGCTCCTTAAGGGTAGGTTTGGCCCCATCTACCTACCCTTTTACTCGCTAGAGGCCATCTCCTATCTTTGTCCTTGGTTGGGAGTTAATTTAGGGGTTCCTCAGCTAGACTCCCTGTGGCCCCATAAAGGAGACTTGGCCTGAACTAGCCCTTTTGGTTTGGGTAGAGGGGAGTCTGGTCAGGCGTTTGGCAACGTGGCTCAGGAATGCTGGGAATGTCAGCAGCGTAGGCCTCTTTCTCCCAGCCTGCCATGTGGAGTCCCACAGCCCACGCCTGGACAGAGAAGGTGGCAGGTTCCCAAGGGAGAGGTGGGGAGAACTGGTCTTTGAGGGGTTCTCTTGGGAATGGGGTGGGGAGATTCTTGCCGATATTCTTTCAGCTTCTGAATATATAGTTTTATTTTTGTCCCTCCCTCCCTAGTGAGCTGTAGTCTTTGCGTTTTTCACAGCAGTGTGATTGTGATGAGGTTGATCCTTCCTCCCTTTGCTGGAGTTTGGAAAGCAGAAGGATTTGGGAGGACTCTGACTTGGGTGTGGGAGAACTCCAAGTCTGGAACTTGGAGGGGCAGGACAGAAGATCAGGAGTCCCTCACTGTTAGCAGTGTGGCTGTCCTGCTTTCTCTGGTTTTTGCTGTGGCGGAAAGAAAAAGTTCCAGGTTGCTTCTTTGAAAAGTCTTCTGAGGGACTGTTTTCTCCCAGTCTTGGCTTTGTTGGAAAGCTGCTTGGTTAGATACTGATCTGCTGAGTGGCTTTTATTACTGTGTAGGGCTTGAGGTGGGCAAGCAAAGGGACCAGAAATCTTGGGGGTCAGAGTGCAGGCAAAGTCTGGCACCTCCCAGAGTTGCCCATTGTGACTGCTCTTCCTACTCTTTCCCCTTAGGAGTCATACCCTGCTGTGCCCCCCATCTGGTCGGTGGAATCTGATGACCCTAACTTGGCTGCTGTCTTGGAGAGGCTGGTGGACATAAAGAAAGGGAATACTCTGGTGAGGGGGCCATGGGGTAGGAGCACACATGTGTCTGTGAGGCCTGTGTCATAAAGTCCCCGGCGAAAGGGCGCTGTATATGAAAAGTGGCCGAACATGGTGGGGCAGACTTCCTAGGGGAGTTGTCTGAAGCCAGAGGTGAATCCCAGTAGAGGCCATCCTCTGCAGGATTGGTGGACCAGGAGCCATTCCCACAGCCTGTGGTCCATCGGGTTTAGAGAACTAGGTGCCGGTTTGGGATGTGAGCTACAAGTTTATCAGTGCAGCTGTCCATATTAGAGTGGGAAAGAAGTGTTTGATATCTCTGTGGTCCCCAACCCAGCTCTTGCAGCATCTGAAGAGGATCATCTCCGACCTGTGTAAACTCTACAACCTCCCTCAGCATCCTGATGTGGAGATGCTGGATCAGCCCTTGCCAGCAGAGCAGGTGAGCAGCTAAAGGGCTTTAGGCTGTTGTACAGAGTTGTGCCACAGAGAGCACTCAACAAGTACGCGGTAACTGAGACGGATCTGCAGTAGCCTCTCCCCACCCCCACCCACCCCCAAATACACACACATGTGACTTTCAGCCTCTTTTTTCTCTAGATGGGAGTCTAGCTGAGTGGAACACTAGTAGCTTCATCTCTCCTATCGAACTCCCCTCTCCGGCATCTGTTGCCATCCCGGAGGTTGAGAAGGAGTGGAACTTTTACCATTATCTTAGAAGTAGCAGTTGGTGGCCACTGGGGACCCAGGCCCTTTCTTTCGAGCCAAGAATACAGTATCAGTCTAGAAAAGATCAAGTAAAAGAGGGGTTCTTAGGAAAATTAAGTGGGGTTTGCAAGGTGGGTGACAAGAAGAGCCATTTTTCTTTTTTTATTCCTTGGCATATGGTAGGAAGAAAATGATGGGCTGATAGGGAAGTCATCCCGGCTCTTGCTTCCACTGACTCTGGCTGTTGGAGAGACGGGGCAAGTGTATAGCTTCCAGACCAGGAGGCTTAGGGGAGTAGGTCAGAGGCTGCACTCCACAGTCACTGGGGCTCTGATCTCATCTCCCTCCCCTCCCCACTGCAGTGCACACAGGAAGAAGTATCTTCAGAAGATGAAGACGAGGAGATGCCTGAGGTAGGCTTGCAACCTGAGGTGGTGTTGGCAGGAAGCTGTTGCCATCAGCGGCACTCATCACCCACCATAAACAGAGCTCCAGTCTAGAACTAGGGAGAGAGAAACAATGTACTGACCAGGAGGAATGACCAGTGTAGTAGAGGAAACAGGCACCATATCCCCCCTCTGAAGGCAATCAGGTGCAAATAAATACTCAAGTTAATTTCAGATGGCGTTGGAGGCTGACAGACTGAGTTTGCATCCTGGCTATCCTAACTAGGGAGGTACACCTAATCTCACCAAGCTAGATGGGATTATAATACATGCTGCATATGGTTGTCTTAAGATTAAGTAAAATATTGTATATAAAGTATTTGGTGAGTACTAAGTAACTTACCTAATATATTCTTTAAAAACATAGATGCTTTTGCAGAATACAGAGTAATGATTAAGAATTTGAGTTTCAGATCTAGATAGAACTTGATCTAATGTTTAGCTCTGCCAAGAGTTCTATGACTTTGGGCATGAGAATTAATATCTTACTAGACTTAAGCTTCCTCATTTGTAAAATGGAGACAGCGATTGAATAACGTTCAATAATGGTTGTGAGGATGAAATGATCTGGTGTGTAATAAACATTAAGTAGATGTTAGCTGGTACTGTAATAATCAGGAGGTTAGTATGTTCTGCCAGGTAAGACACTGATCACTTTGTTTCAGAGCATTGGATTAATGTCCCAAGTTCTATAAGTCTGTAAAGGTCTTAAGACTGACAGACAGCTGGTGACACATGAAATTTACTCTTCCCAGACGGTGGACAGCCCTGTGTACCACACCCTGAACACCTGACTGAAAGGCTAACTCCTGGCCTCCTCCCCCTGTGAATAGTGAACTACTTGTTCACTTAGAATAGGTTGAATAAAGAGCTAATTCTGTTCTTAACTTCGGCCGCCTTCCTCTCTGGACCCCCTTTCTCATTTCCATCTTGTTAGTAGGTGCCTCTGCAAACCTGACTCAAGCCCTACATTTGTAGGGAGAGGAGGAGATGAAATCCCAGATTCTCCTCTGGACCTGAGGCCCTGAGGATCCTGGGTGCATCAGTTCACCTGATGAAACATGAGCTTTCAGTGACAGTGTCGGGCCAAAGTCATTCTGATAGGAATTGGGAAAGAGAAGGGGGGTTTTAGGGGCAGGTCAAGCAGGGTTGTCCTGGGGAGCAAAAGGCCAAGTCTTCGTAGGTCCTTACCTTAGCTCTGTGGCTGTAGAACTGGAGAAGAGAAGTGCCTGTCCTTCACAGGGTGGAGGGATAGGGTTGGGAACTGTTCTGGAAGCGAGGGGGGGGGTGTTGAGTGGTGGGACTGCTAGATGACTGCTTCTCCTGGAGCTCCAGGCCAGGTGGGACTAGGAAGGTGACGGTCCTCATTCACAGCCTTCTCCCTTTCCCCTCTGTTCCCCTCCCTCCCACTCTGCCCAGGACACGGAAGACCTAGATCACTATGAAATGAAAGAGGAAGAGCCAGCTGAGGGCAAGAAATCCGAAGATGATGGCATCGGAAAAGAAAACCTGGCCATCCTAGAGAAGATCAAAAAGAACCAGAGGCAAGATTACTTAAATGTACGTGCCTCGTAGGGAGTGGCGGGGCACGAGGGAGGTGGGCACTACCTGGGGAGTGGTAGGCCGCAGCTCACAGCATAGGGAGCTGCTCGCATCTAATCGTCCTCCAGACCCTGGGCAAGCAGTGGAGGTGTAACGTGTGTTTCCAGACTGGGACCAGAGAATGTTCTGTTGTTTCTCCCTCACAGGGTGCAGTGTCTGGCTCGGTGCAGGCCACTGACCGGCTGATGAAGGAGCTCAGGGATATATACCGATCACAGAGTTTCAAAGGCGGTGAGTTTGCTCCAGAGAGGGGCTTGCATGGGATTTTCTCGCCGGGGTGGATATGGGATATGATATGATATGGTGCAGAAAGCCCCAAGGTTCGGGGTACATGAGCATTGACAAACTTGCGGTCAGGAACGGAGCACCTTAAAGCCAGTGGCTTGGCTTGGGTGTGCATTCATCTAGAGCAGACCTGGACCTTTGATCTTTTTCCCTCGGTGTGTGAGAGGGAGCAGTCTGAGGGACCCCTCCCCACCTGTACTGTCCTACTGACACTTCCCTTCCCCTTTTCTAGGAAACTATGCAGTTGAACTCGTGAATGACAGTCTATACGATTGGAATGTTAAACTCCTCAAGTGAGTGGGGACTGGGGAGTCGGGAGCGGGGTGGGTGGAACACCTGGTGATGTCTGGGCGGTCTCACTAGCATGTTGGTTGCAGGGTCCCCAGAAGTGGGTGTGGGCAGTGGTATGTGTATCTGGGGCCGGCTGGGGCGCAGGGGAGGAGGGGGTTGGTGGGGAGCCCTTGTGAGGCTCTGCACTGGGACAAGGGTTTGAGCCCAGACTTGTTTCACAGAGTTGACCAGGACAGCGCTTTGCACAATGATCTCCAAATCCTCAAAGAGAAGGAAGGAGCTGATTTCATCCTACTTAATTTCTCCTTTAAGGTAAGCCTTCCCCCAGCTCTCCCTCCCTGGCCTGAGTTCCTTGTCTGCCTAAGTCTTGTGAGGATGCCGGTCTCCTTCCCTGAACGCTGCCTCTGTCTTTCTCAGGATAACTTTCCCTTTGACCCACCGTTCGTCAGGGTTGTGTCTCCAGTCCTCTCTGGAGGGTGAGTGGCTGGGTCAGGGAGAGGGTGAAGCAGAGACTGGAAGCTCTTGCCAGGCCTGACTGACCGACCTTTCTCATGCAGGTATGTTCTGGGCGGAGGTGCCATCTGCATGGAACTTCTCACCAAGCAGGTGAGGCCCTTTCACTGTTGGCCCAAGAGCCTGGGTGGGGCCCGACAGCTGAGCTTCCTCCCCATCCCAGCCTGGGCACAGGCGTCTGTGGCCCTGTTACCCTGCCAGGTAGTGGCTGTCCTGGGAGGGAAGGGCACAGGCACTTCCATAGAGAGGCACTGCCGCCTGGAGAAGAAGTGGAAGGTGTCTCCAGGAGCCCTGTCCTGACTCGCTCACTTTGTCCCTCCTGTCCCCAGGGCTGGAGCAGTGCCTACTCCATAGAGTCAGTGATCATGCAGATCAGTGCCACACTGGTGAAGGGGAAAGCGCGAGTGCAGTTTGGAGCCAACAAAGTAAGGGGCCTGGGCTGGCGGGCTGGCTGGAGCCGAGTGCATCGTGGCCAAGGCTGAGGGCAAAGGGGACACAGTCCCTGGGCTGCGATGTTGGAGGAGAGGGCCTGGGGTGGCCACAGTGGGAACAGAGCAGGGCCTTAGCTGAGGGGTGTCCTCAGGGTTTGGGGGTTCAGGTCAGGAAAGGGAAGGCTGTGGGATTGTGTCCCCAAGGGACCTCTCAGACAGAGGTCCTTAGCGTGCTACCAGGGTACCGCGCTGGCAGCCGGGCTTCTTGGGTCTCTGGGTGGCCGCCTGTGGAAGGGGAGGGGCAGTGAGCCACAGCTGGCGTGGCCTGATCGGGTGGCTTCTCTCCCCAGTCTCAGTACAGTCTGACGAGAGCACAGCAGTCCTACAAGTCCTTGGTGCAGATCCACGAAAAAAACGGTGAGGCCGGAGCCGGGCCCGGGGCTCTGATGCTGGGCAACCCCAGGTTCTCACTCGGCCCGTAGCAAGGTCCCTCTGGGTTTCCGAGCCTTTCACCCACTCACCCACACCTGCCGGCTCTCCAGAGAAGGCCTGGAGGTGGTGTCGTGGGCAGTCTTGGTGCTGCCCTCTTCCTGACCACCCTTTGAAAGACTCTTCACCACCTCGGGTTGGGCTCTTCACTCTCCCTTTCCTTACAACCTCCAGGTAGGCAGCCTCCGCTTCCCTGTACCTCTCTTCTCGCACCTGGCAGCCTCCCTAGGACCTTCTTGCCTGGAGACGCTGCAGATGTCCACGGTGACTGGGACAGGGAGGGCGCTCTGGGCCTGGACCTCGCTGACCTGGTGTGTTTCTTTGCAGGCTGGTACACACCCCCAAAGGAAGATGGCTAACCCTGGAGCGTCGCCCCTCCTCCTCCCCCAGGCACCACTGGACCAATACCTTTGAATGCTGTATCTGGATCTCACGCTGCCTCTGTGGTTCCCTCCCTCATTTTTCCTGGACGTGATAGCTCTGCCTATTGCAGGACAATGATGGCTATTCTAAACGCTAAGGAAAAAAACAAAAAAACAAACAGAACTGTTTCAAGTACTCAAGACTGACTACAGACCAACAACCACCTTGCTGGAACCCTTGCTAGCAGGCATTCTTATAAAGAAACTCTCGAGCCTCCTTATATTGCTGGAAACTCAGCTGTGCTCCAGACTAGAGCCTCCTTACCTATGCTATGGATTTTTAATTTATTTTCTCTTATTTCATGTACACTGCTTTTTTTGGTTACAGTGTATGATGGATGTGTATGAAAAAAAAATGTATCTTTGGGAAAACAATTACAGTTTGTTAATTTGAAGATGCTGGTCTTGACTCATCTTTATTTTTATTCCCACATCCCACCCCACCCCCATCCCCTGACTGCTTGGGAGGTGGGGGAGGGGTGCCAGGTCCACTGTGCTTTGGTAGCCATGAGGCTGTGTGCTCCGCTAACCCAAGAAATCTGGAGCTAAGCACCACCTGGCCCACCCCTAGGTTTCCCGAAGGCCCCTGCTGACTTACAGTGTAGCAGGCTGGTATGATGAACTTGATTCTTAGGACTGCGTTTCACTTCTAGTTTCAGAGACTTTTCAAATTTCTAAGAAACAGAAAATGTGGAGGCTCAAGAGGCTGCTTCATAGAAATCCTTTTATGAGAACTGAGTGGGGCTGGGGCGCAGGCTCCTGCGTGTGTACGTGGTCTTTTCTAATCACAGCCATCCGCTGTCTAGCTACAACTCTGCAGTGTGCTTTGGCTCCTCTCCCTCCCAGAAAGTGGCTTCTGACTGGCCCTGGATTGTGATCAGTGGTAAGCTCTGCTCACCTTCCTCCTGTCTCCTGCTTTATTTGGGGGTGTAGAAGAGAAATGGCTCTTGAAGTAAGTTTGGCTGACTTGGAGAATTGTGGACCCCTTCAAGTCATTCTTGTAAGATGCTGGTCCTACTAGAAACGGTTAGCTCTGAGGTGGGTTGTTCCATGACCTGTGTCCTTACCCCAGGCGTGAGGAACTGCTGGGCCAGGAGGAAAGTGGGAGGAGTCTGTGGGGCTGGAGCAGGTGGTGCTGTGTTGTATGTACTGCTGTTGTAAAAGTTTGGACATGACTTTGCATATGGCGGGTGCTGCCTGTGTCTCCCTGTCAGGAAGCTTGCTTTGGGGCAGAGGCAGCTTTTGGGGGCTGACTGTGCCCACAGAGTGGGTAAAGATTGAAAACAACAGAGGCCAGAAACAGCTAAGACAGACCCAAGTCTTAGGAAACCCAGATCTGGGACGGCTGCCTGGGAACCTGTAGGAGGCCCGAGGAGCCCTGTGATGCTTTAAGACACAGCAATTTTAACTTGGCCATTCTCCCCTCCCCCACCCCATCCCGAGGGATTCTAATGTCTTGCTGCTTTAGGTGGATGGAGAGTTCACCAATCCCATTCAATGCTGCTCCAACTCTGCCCACACCCACCTGATTAGGGGTGCTAATACATGCTGAGGTTGAGATAAAGAGGGGACCTAAGGGGAAAATTCATTCCATAGAGCTGAAATCTGGTTTTCAAGGCCTCCGTGGCTTTCTTCTGAATTTATTACCAGCCCTGGCTGGAATGTAGATTGTGTTTTTAGTAATGTGTACTGTGAGCTGTCCTCTGTATAATGTATTTTGTAATGTATTTTTCTCATCTACCAAAGGATGAAACAAATAAAATTATTTAAATAGTTTGGCTCTAATAAACTTATTTAAAGACATAATGGGTTCATGTTCACTTGACATCAAGTAGATGTGCCCAGCTACTGTGGATCGTGAGACACCAGCCCTATGAGAATCTTCCATTTTTCTTGGCAAACCTAATATTCCTTTTATGACCTTAAAAAGGCCATATCATAGAAAAAAGGACTTTCTTCTCTCTAGTAGGAAGGCAGGAGAAACAAAACACTCTTCTTGAATGTACACGCGTATGTCCTGAACAGGGTTTGTATGGCCCAGAGCCCGCGGACTCGGTTTCTCAATCTCACTGCGGCAGTGTTAGAGGGCAGGGAGGGGTGGGGTGGTGTAAACAGAAAGAAGTGTCCATCGCCCCAAAAGCGTGAAACATGTCAGTGTTTACTTGCCAAGATGGTAGCTCACTAGCTCAATATTTTTTTATCTGATTCTATATGGAACATCTGGAAAACAAGGCGTTGGGCCCTTTCATCCTCCAGAATCTGTTAGGGCAGCTCCTATCATGAAAGGAAGAGACAGGAAAAGACACACAGGCTTCCTCAGGTTTCCAACCTAATGGGAGCTCCCTGTGTTCCATTAAAACGTTCACGCCAACTT